GCCCAGAGCCCCTACCTCCGCGACCTCATGACTGCCACGCCCAAAGGCAAGGGCGTCGCACCGCTCCGGATCCCCAAGGAGGAGCCTTTAGCCAAGCGCCACCGATCCTCCAGCGGGAAACGCGACGCCACGCCGCACGCAAGATCACACGGCGCTCCAGGCCGCAGGCTTTTTTTTTTTTTTTTTTGTTTTTTTTTTTTTTTTTTTTATTCTTTGTTCCGCCTTTTTCTTCCTCTGCACCCAGGCACGGCACGGATGGAGCTTCTTATTTGTTTTTTTGTTTTTCTTTTTTTTTTTTTTTTTTCTTATCTTTTTTGTTTTTTTTTTCTATTTACCGAGCAGACGGCCGTCCAAGGACCAGGAGGGGACGGGTACGACCCGCAACCTGGCATGGGGGCGGCCGAAGGTGGGGGCCACACGGAAGGGCACGCTGACGCAGCCGCCGAGGTACCAGGCGACGTCGAGATCCTCTCATCAGAGGATGAATTCAGCGTGGCATCGCGCGAACCAAACATTCTCGGCGAACGCTTCGCTACGGCCCCTAACTGTCAGATGCCGCTACGACCCGCATCCAACACATGGAACAACAGCACGAGCTGCTTGCCAACACGGTGGACAACATGCAGGTCCAGCTTGCGGGCGTCCTCTCATCCCAGGCCACACTCACGGAGCACGTTACAGGCTTGGAACGAGGGCTCGCCACCGTCGTCACTCAGCAACAGACGGCAACCACCGAAGCCGCTGCACTGCGCGGCGACATCCAGGCCCTCCTCGGGCACCTCATGGGGGGTACCGTCCACCTGCCCCAGGCGGCCACCCTCGATACCAAAAAGGAGGAAGCTGCACCAGTTGCCGATCCCGTGGCTGTCTGCGGGTGGATCGACCAGCCAGGCCAGGTCACCCCAGGGACGGGGCCCCCAGGGGCTGACAAAGGCAAAGACAAAGGGCGGGCCACACAGGAACCCTATTGAAGGTGCCTCAGAGGGCCCGCCTCAGCCCTCCGAGGAAGCGCTTTCAGAGGCATCCCTTCTCACTTCTCGTCGTACCTCCTCCTTGCTATATCATGTCATTTTTGGCAGCAGCACGAGCAAGCTACCTGGTGTAGGGACACCTGTCATCTTGCTGTGGGTGTGTTTGTTGCAATGTACATGAGCATGCAGGGGTACCTAAAGATGCGCGCTGACATGCAGCCTTTGGCTCATCGCTCGCGCCGCCTGCCAGGCCTCGCCATCATGTGGCGCTTTGCTTTCAGCCTGGCCCTCCCCTCGCTCGCTGGAGCACACCCGTCTTCAGGCGGTGCGCCCCAGCATGGAGGTGGGTTTCTTCTGCAGCACGTCGAACGTGCGTCCTTTTACTACCTCTACGATGACAGCATCTGCAAGTACGACTACTGCACCATCTCGGACCCGATCGTCAACGGCACCGCTGCCGCGAGTCCGTGCAGCATTGGCCAGGCACACAGTGGCGGCTTCAGCCCCGCTGTTGTGCCCCGCTATTGCCCTATGGGTCCCACCACTCCCATGCGAGACAGGGGCGAACCCGAGGAAGACCCTGCTTTCTGGTACCTGATGATGATCCGCGCCCGGCTCATACCGTGTGCTGCGGCGTGGGCACCAGGTGAGGACAACCAGGACATGTTCTGGGCATGGCTCGAGGACTGCGTCCCGTACATCCTGGCGACGCTCCATCTGCCACAGTACGATCACCTCTTCCATGAGGCGTCCGAGGACACCACCGACGCCCTGCGCCATCGCACCGCGGTCGACATGTGCGAGGACATCTGGCACAGAGCGGGCCCTGACAGGCAGCGCATCAACCGCAACCTCACTCGGATCCAGAGCAACCGCGAGTACGCCACCCGCTATTTCGGCCTCCTTTTGGAGTATCAGGGCGCTCGTGCCACGCTCGTTGGCCCTGAGGCTTTCACGGCACCTTTGCCGCCATACCTCTCACGGGCCCATGCTCTGCTACCAAGAGGTCTCCCTCCTCCCGACCATGACGCCATGGCCTACCTCGCTGATGTTATCCTGCACCAACCGCCAGACATGCTGCCGCTCGTCGAGGCGGAGCTCGCTGCGGCGCCGACGGACGGCACCGATCAGGCCGCAGAAGACCCCGTATCATGGCTGCTCCAGCACATCGCGGCCAACGGTATCGACAATACATCCATGGACTCGATCCACGCGTCGGAGGATAGCCAGGACGACATCGATATCCAGGATCAAGACGGCACGATACCATCAGGCGATTCGGCTCAGCGTGACCGCGACAGTGAGCCTCACTCTGGGCTCGCCCCGTGGCAACGCAGTGTGCCCCACACCCCAGACCAGGCCGACCCATCGGCGCGGCCAAACGACGCTGAAGGCGCCACTGCCGCTGAAGTGACTAGCCATTCCACTGCTTCGCCAACTCATGCCAGGCTGGGCAGTGGCGGCTTCAGCCCCGCTGCACCACTGGCTAGACCTGGACATCCCCAGACTGCAGGAGGTGACAACGTGACTGACTCCAACCCCAGTGCCATCGACAACTGGCAGGCCGACATCGACAACGACCCCATCGATGATGATCACCCAGATGCCAGCGGTCCCCACGAGACCCAGCACAGCTCAGCGGCATCACGACATTGTGGCTGCCTCATCTGCCTCCTGGTGGCCACGTACGCCATCGCGATAACAATGCCGTACAAGGACCAGATCGATGGATAC